GGCAAGTCGGTATGATTTTAAGATGAAAAAGTAGAGAGGGCATCATTCCACTCCAATAATAATCAGAACAACCATCTTGACAGAGTTTGCGCAGTTCGAAGAGAAAATCTCGATTTTCGTTTTCTCTCCTCTTTTCTCATTATAAATTTTGTAAACTGTCTCAACCATAACATGGTTGAGACAGTTTACAAAATTATTGGAAACTCTTTTGCAGAAATAAAGTAAACCAACAACTTATCCAAAATTGTATACCAAAGAGCTGAAAGTACTCATGATTGATAAAAAAAGCTCAGGCAAATCATCAATCCACTCGTACAGATCAAGATTATTTAACATTTTCCAATCTAGGATCTCAATGCAAAGCTCTTATGAAATTCTGTTATGATAATCATACAGCAAATATTGATGACCAAATAATCAGTATAGTTCCAAATATTTTTGATATTATATAAACTCAGTGAAAAAAAATCATGGATTTCCAAATAATATGCATCGTGATGATCAAATACAGGGAACAAGGAAAAGTATTGTTAATCTTTTCGTAAAACTCACCTCTCGTAAATTGTGACTCATAAAACGCTACACCATGGTTATTCCCAGGTGAAGCCAACGGACCAACTCCTTGCAGGAACTGTTGAACATAATGTTCCAGTGGAAGGACGGGTTCCGTGTAATTGGTCCAAAAATTCAAACCATAGTAACAGGCGTGATCCATGAGAGAGCTGCCAACTTCCAAATCCATTTTTACAGGTATATCGAGTGTCTCTAAATGATTTCTAGGACCAATCCCAGACAACATAAGTATTTGGGGGGTTTGAAAAGCTCCTGCGCTCAGTATGATTTCCTTTGATGCTTTGACAACATATACTTTATGTTCGTGTGTGAAAACAACTCCGTAGGCTCTTTTGTTTTTATCAATCAGGATTTTGGTGACATAGCTGTTGAGGAGGATTTTTAAATTCGGTCTGCTCAAGATAGGGAATAGAAAACTAGTTCCAGCGTCCTCAGTTCTACCGTTTCTGGTGTTCAACTGTGCGTGTGCCGCTCCTAGCCCAGTTCCCGCATTGTAATCAGTGATGGGATATCCTAGTTCTTTGTGTGCGTTCAACCAAGCATTGAGTTGAGGACTCCTTGGGAGATGATGTTCCACATTGAAGAAGCCACTGCGACCGTGAATTGGCTCATAGATTGGCGCTTCCTTATCCCTGTGGACGAATCTCTCGGTTCTCTTGAAAATGGGAAGAACACTCGAGTAAGACCATCTTGAATCTCCAACTTGTTCAGACCATCTGTCGAAGTCTATGCTTGAGCCTCTTGCATATACTAAGCCGTTAATGAGAGTAGTACCTCCCAAACCTCTTCCTCTGGCCAATGGGCATATTCGATCTGTCATACCTATGAAGGATTGACATTTTCAGTTCAACTTCTCAGGAATTTCACACATGTATTCAAAGATTAAACTTCAAACAATAGAACAAAGAGGGAATAAAATGAAATATGAATAAAAACAACGAATAGCTTCGAGTTGTAAAGTCAGGGTGATATACTGATACGATGTGAAATTGCCAACGAAAATTGGTTGTTGGATACCTCCAATACGGAGTAGTTCTACCCCTCTTGAACTTAATTTCACCTTCTCGCCCCCCTCAAGTCAGTGTACCCCGCTCAGATATAAAGCAAAAGAATGTAAAATAGAAATTGAAAAAAATGAACAAATATTTGAGGTTCGATTTTGAATCTATCGCGTTACACGAGCCGAGTACCCTTGGCAACTTTGGCGTAGACTGAGTGTCTGGCGCCGCTGGCGGCGGTTCCTTGGGTTGTGTCTTACTGTAAGACCCTTAAACCGATAGTTCCGATATTCTGTGACTGAGTACTGAGTTACACTACAATGTTCTTCTGCTCATCCAATGATACCGAGCGCCCTGATCATGCTCTGTGCGTGTGAAATGTTATTTGATGTTTGTGACATGACATTCGACATTTTTAGTTGAAGTTGAGAACGTAAATGTGGAAATGTTTATATTATGTGCAATCTCAGTCTGTGATGTAAATGTTATATGTATAGTCGAAGTAACCGATATTGTGCACTCTTAAAGTTGTCGGCACACTCAGAGGCCAAAAAAACCAACACGTAGAAATGAACCGGCAACAAACTATAGTTCACGTGAACCCTAGACTTGGCGGTTCGTATTGAATAATTTTTACTAACCGAGTTTTGTGATTGGCTGAAGAGTCGAAATTGAATTTGAAGTCATGTTACGGTGTCGAATAGAAATCGGGGAAAGTAGTTCAGGAACTGATCGCGATTTGAGTGTTGACATTCGATATTGGTGCAGTTATAATTACTTAAAAATTTTGTTATCTGTTTGAAATGTCGCGTCCTTGGACAAGTACTGATAGTAGTAACGAGTGTGATAACAGCGCAGACTTTTTACCGTGTAGTGATTCCAATAGCGATGGTGATCAATGCGAAAAAGAGATACCAGAGATACCGAAATTCCTTTCTTAACTGAACGTAAAATATTCAAAAACAAACCTTACGAACGCAAGACGCGATGTGATACAGGATTACTAAAACCGTTAGATGTTCATCTAATGAAATCATTGAAAAAAAAATATACGACTGTTACAAAAGCAATGAGATTCTTACAACTGAAATTATAAGGAAGAAAGTGAATACTTTCGGCCATAACGTGAGCTGCTGTGACAAAACTCTTCAGAATTGGAAAAAGAAACTAGGGTTGAGATTTAAAATAATAAACAAACGTCAAACAGTTATGGAAAGCGTAAAAAATACTTAGGACAAATAACTGAATATAGACAAGAACAACGACAAATTTTCTGTTTGAACGAAACTTGGTATGACACTCACGGCACAGTTACGAAAGGGTGGACTGATGGTTCGAGAATGTGTACGCCTAACAAGCCTGCAAACAAATGATCGCGACTAATCATTGTGCATTTTGGAGGAAGTAAAGGATGGGATCTGAATTGTATGATGTTATATGGAAAAAAACTTGAGGACTGCAATGTTGACTATCATAAGAACATGGAAGCTAATATTTTCGAGGAATGGTTTGGAAACACATCCCAAATTTGGATGCGATGAAATGTGACTTATGTTTTTGATTACGATCGTCAAATCCATCGTATAACATAAAATGACAATCATAGGTATACGTCAATGCATCACTGTGATTGGTGTCATCATGTGAATGCGGATCCACCCCGGTTCTACCCCGCTCTCTTTCAGAAATCTACCACGATGAAAAAATAGCTTGTGGCAACACTGCCTCCAATACTATTCGGTACGTAAAATGTGTGAAAATCGCAGTTGTTAATAAAAATAATGAATGTACAAGAAATAATGTTTTCGAAGCGTGAAATAATATTTAGTTTCAAGAAACATTAAATGACTTACAATCACAACCATTTTTCAGAGAGTCAATACTCAAACCTAGCTGAGAATATGAACAACCTCTCTTCAAGAAAAAATAACCGTATTTCCTTTCATATTCTTTGAAAATAAACGTGCATCAATACTCACCCAGACACGCCGTACTTTGTGGTGTGCTAAGGAATCCCCAATTATGTTGTGTGTACTCTACTTCAAAGTACATATTTGGTATGTCAGTTACATTATCAGGCAATCCGCCAGCTTCGATCAGGAGCACTTTCCATTCCGGTACTTCTGTTAATCTATTCGCCAGAATACTTCCTCCAGGTCCAGCACCAATTATGATGAAGTCGTAGGACTCCAATTCTGTCAAGGTTTGAAAATTATTACTCATAATTCACGTTCTTTGGACTTTTGACAAACCAATTCAATATAAATCATAACTGGTATGAATCTGATTGCAGGTATCTAATCCTAAGTCCTATAATACCTAAAATATACAGTCTTGCAAATCTGTGTGACCAATTCTAGGTGAGTTATAGGATTCCCTACGAAACCTAGTCTGAGTGTTATTGATTCATTTGAAATTTTTGACGAAATCTACAAAATGGACAGATATCACTATTTGACGTATCTTCGTTGATCCTTCAATTAAAACTATTGAGTATACTGAAGACATCTAGATTAATAGGCCATGTAGTGAAATATGTATGTAGTATTACAAACAGATCAGAAAAATTTGTCTGAAACAGAATTGCTTCCAGTTCAGGAACTATTTCTTTAGCAGTACCAGAAAACAGCAATGGGCAACCCCTCATGGATAATTTGTCCAAGAGCATATTTGAGAAAGAGGAATTAGATCTCTTTTCACGAATGCTGGTACGTGAATGATGCATTTACCATGTTTGACACGAATGAAAGTATGGGAAAAAGCAAGAAGCCTCGAAATTCAGAATGTACTTCAAACATCCGTTATGAAATTGAAACATATATCTTTCATAGTAACGCTACACAACGTAATAAATGAAAGGGTTATTGATAAAAAGTTTCGCTTACATTCTCAATGATGTACAGCTGCTGGACTGTCATGGCCGGTGAGAAACCCCTCCCACAAGATGTGCAGTAGGTGTGTAGAAATCTGTTATCATTCTGTTAGATTATTCGAGCCGTAAACATAAAAATTCAGGACTGTTTTCAGTTAGTGATGGAGTTTGATACTTTCTTCGTCATACACCGACACAAACTTTACGCAGATACGATTTCTCCCACCGGCCATGACTCAGCCCGGTAGCTGTACGTCTCGTTTTGGGTTGAAAATACGTGTAGTTTTCAATTCCTTATCAATGCCTTTTTGAATTTTCAACGGCAGAAAAACGCGTTCCTCGTATATGATCACGATTCAATGTTATCTAAAAAGGCAATTATGCTCTTGTCAAGATGATAGTTCGTAAACACTTCCAAAGTTGATGGATTACATTCCAGCCATAGAAATTCCATTTGAATTGAAAATAAAACATTTTCATTGAAGATTAGTTTTCGGGAAAGAGACGTTATGACTTTCTATTTCTCCATCTTCAAATAAGAAATGTGGTAAACCTTCAAAAAAAGAAAGAAACAAATTCACTTCGAAATAAAATCTTTGCAAAAATGTGCAGGTCATGCACAAAGTTTCTTAAAGATGAAAACTGAAAAAAACCCTTCTGAAACAACTACTTTCACATAAATATTGAATTACATGAAACCGGCTTTCTTATATATGCTCCAAACATTCATTATGATATTGAAGCAGATATTATTCATTGAATAGCTACACAACGTAATAAGAGGGAAGAATATTCATATGAAGTTTTATTCCATCCTCAGTTATGTACTTTCGAGTTACGGGACAAGACGCTTGTCTTATCACTCCAACATCACTTTTTTGGGTAACAATACTAGAATAAGCACCCATTTTTTATCACATTACGACTTTACGTCATCAAAATAGACAAATCTGCTCTTGTCACGGTGACGATAAGTATACACAGCAGAAGTATTGCACAAGACCTGTCTCACTCTTTCCATCATACCTGTCACAAAGTGTTCATTGAATGGTCTATATTCTTGGGCACTCGTCGGCAATTCAAAAATCTGTGTTTGTTCTCGCACTTGGTTGATGACATTTGTCAAAAATTGAACATCTTCACTGTATTGATTCTGGTGAAATCTAACCAACAAATATCAGTTGAACCCTTTTCTTCTATTTTGCTCTGAATCAATTTTATATTCAATTTCATAAAAGTTATAATGAGGATGTTTATATTGAGGAATTGATTATGTTTATATTTATGGAAAAAAGTGTTTCATATATATAACATTACCTACACGTTTAGAGAGAAGATACTCTCAGGTCAAATTAGCACCATCTGCAGATGGTGCTCAGCACCGTAAGCGAAAAAGTATTTTTAATACATATAGATCAGTTGCTTCACTATCAGTATCAGCATCATGTGGCTTCCTCAAAGGTTAAGTAATCAACTCTCTCTCAGATTCCTTCAGTTACAATGGTACATTTCCCTATATTGCCCCCAATAATTTTTCTATTGCTCAATGAGAGTTGCAGTTTTGGTGTTTGAGAGCAGTTCTTATCTTGAATGTATTCTACGCAAGATGTTCCAGTCCTAATTCCAGTTTAATTTATTTGTTTGTAGCAAATTGTTCATGGAATGTACTGAATTGTTGTTGTGAATCATGCCCTAAAGAAAATAACGCCGGCCGCCACTGGTAGCCATTAACCAATTGTGAAGTAGCTAAGAGCGCCCGAATGTACGATGTTCGCTGCAGCTCTAGATGTAGCGAGAATAATGCTACCGTCTTCGATGGAATTATGATGGAATTGTGATTGTTTTGGGTTGTTTCGGCAGTGCTATGGTTCAATTTCAACTGTAGAGAGGCAAAAAATTCAAATTTGAAAAAATGAACAGCATTAATCTATAGGGTACAGAATTCTCTTTCGATCTGTATACCTCAAGACACAGTAGAATTATTATTCATCGTGATATGGAGCCTAGAAAAACAAGTATTTTTCTCAGATTCAAATAATTTTTAGCGGAAAAGCTGAAAATAAAATCGAATATTCGAACAATATAAGGAGTTCGGTGTTTACTTCACAGTTATATTATATAAACAGATATCTGTCATGGTTCTTTCCAGTTTTTCATACTCATAATTCATTCAAACGATTTGTAAAAAATGCAATGAACTCACCCATCAAAGTTATTATCCGGTCTTGCGAATTGGAATTCTGTTGGTTTATCTGTGAATAAATATTTTCAATTAAATAATTGCCGGTGTAGCTTGGGGAAAACCCACTGTTCATGTGTTATTCAAGAGGTTTGGGAATTCCCTAGAAACCAACCTGTTCAATTACGTTTTCAAATGGAGTCTTTATCTTTTCCATAATTTCACAGAACCATGCACATACTGGAAATAACAGTTCATTATTTCTTCAACTTTGGAAAGAGTATTGAAATATTAGCTTATTAAGATTATGTTCATATAGATAATCGATGACGCGGATAAATCAAAATAACCTACCATCATATTAGTTTTATACCAACATGGTTTCAAAACTTGAAGTAATGTTTATCTCAAAATTGAATAATTCATTCAGCATATTGTAAATATTTCTTATTTTCAGATATTCAGTATGAAGCTCAAGTTTTCTGGGAAAACAACACATCTGATTAGGAAACGTTCAATAGTTCAACTTTCAAAAGATATTAGCGGGAAATCTAGAACCGAATCTCATTATCATGACGAATAGGAACTGTTGTAATAGGAAATACCTTTTCAACCTTCTCTTTCAATCAAATGAAGTTTGAAAAACACACCAACAAACTCATTCAATGAGCCTATGCCTTCCTCAAACTGATACATGGTAATAGGCACTGCCTATCAATAGAATTGATTTTGAAGATACTCTTCATGGGCCGAATCTGACAAGTCATTTTGAAAGAATGATTCAGAAAATCCAGAATTTTGAGACTCATATATGGAATACGAATAAGAAAAAGAATATCTCACAAGCTCCAGAAAGTTGGATGGCTCGATATGAAAATAGAAGAAAAGTGCATGCTGCCTGTTTCTATCATAAGATTCTCTCATATGAAGTCCCTTCGTAACTACACAGAAAAGTGACGTTTCGAACCGATGTTCATAATATTAACATCAGGTTCTAAAAGTCTTCAACACCTCCCATTTTCACAACCCTATTCAAACGCTCTTTCAGTTACCAGATATGAGAAGTATTCAATGCTATTCCTGAAGTTTAAAAAAATACTACCCTCTCAGTTTAAAATCAAATTGATATTTTTCAAAATCCATAACATGATGAACCTTTCACCATTCCCCCTTTCTATTTTATTTTTTCTTCTATTACTTTTTCTCTTCGAATAACAGATTGTTTGCTTAGTTCTGCATCATAATATTTTTTAGCTAAATCGCCAGTCACTGATCTTTATTCATTTATTCATATACTTATGTTAATGCTGGCCTACTTCAATACCCATACAGATACTTATTTAGTTTAAGTGGAAGAACAGTTTGGCATTTATTTGCATAGCTGCGAATATTGAACTACGCCATTTGCTATAACTTCATGAATGTAAAAAATGTGTGGTTATAGTAATAAAGACGTTTTTATTAATTATTATCATCATATTCACCTAAAAACGAATCCAATTCGTCGAAAACTTTATCCCATTGTTGAAACCAGTAGTCAGCACTGTTCACTCCAGTAATTCCAATTATCAAAAAGAGCTGCACGGTAATGTTTTTAATTTTGTACATTTTCAACAACTGTAAACACGAATTTGAAATTCCTATTTACTCTCGAAGGTTTATATCAAAACTAATCTAGATTATTTAACAACGACATTCAGGTCTACTATGACAGAGGCGAAGAAATGATTGAACGAAAGGGTAAAATGCATAGGTATTGCAACTATCTCTAACAATCAGTCACGGATAATGGCCCGAAACAAAGCTGAAATAGATAATGAAAACCGCGAAAAATACTGAAAAACAGTTTTATTCGCTTAAGACGTTACCGATCAAACTTCATCGAAATTTATACTGTGTGCTTCGCATTCAGTTTGGACTCAACTCAGAATTTTCAGTACTTTACGAGATTTGTACGAACAACCAGAAAAAAATTCAATAACATATTTATAATTCATCATTCATGGAAGGTTACACGAAAATCATCATTTTTCTGTGACAAATTTCTGTTCACTAATAGATTCACAGCTTCGAAGATTTTTTCTCCAACTCTCATTAGTCTGACGGTCTGGATGATATTACAATCTGTTCTCGTGGAAATCGTTCGATGAAAAAAAATTATTTTCTCTTTTCATTCATCAATTTTCATTTCGTACCCTTCAGAGAAGCCCCCTTAGATATAATAGACTTGTGCCAGTGTTTTTTTCCAAACCTCAAAGTAGTTTTTATTGGGTTTATCGATAAAACATTAAATAGAAATGACTCTGTATTCTAGCTCATCATTTTATTCTAATATAACTGTATAATGGAAACCTAGAGAACTGAATATAGGTGAATCTACCTAAACTGGTCGTTTTAATTTGGTTCTCTATCCTACCTAACAGGTAATGGGCCAAGTGTATGTAAAACAAAATGAAAAGTGAACCTATGTTCTTGTGAATCTGATCTATGTAAATCAAATGGATATCAAAAATATAATTAACGAAACATTCAACCATTCAATGAAGATCGTTACAGCGTCTGGAAGTTCCGTATGAAATCACTATTTGCTGACCTACAAGTTTTGGATGTTATAGACCAGGATATTGAAGACCAATATGACGAATGGACCAAGACAAATCTGATCGCAAAGAGCACAAAAGTTGAAAACTTGAGTGATTCATTGCTGAGCTTCGCAAGAGGAGAACATTCTGCCAAAGATATCCTAAAAAGCCTGGATGTCATTTATGAACGAAGAAGTCTTGCAACTCAACCGGCTTCGAGAAAACAATTGTTGAGTTTAAAACTTCAAGAAGTGTCTTTTTCCAACATTTCATTCGTATCGATGAAATAGTAACCGAACTTTTTTCCGCTGGAGCTAAATCAGTTGAAATGGATGAGGTATCGCATCTCTTGTTGACTGTTCCCTCTTCATACGATGGAGTTATAACAGCTCTTGAAACCCTCATAGAAGATAATCTGAACATCGCTTTTGTAAAAACAAGACCAGTGGTATCTAGACAAAAGTGTTTTTATTCATTTCATTTAAGTGAAAACAAGACTGTTATATCATGAGGTTGAATTGAAGAGAAATGATAACAGCATAGATTTGAAGGTACTGCAGATGGAAAATCAACCAACTTCAGGAACCTCAGGTGTCGGATTCAAGAAACAAATGAATACAGAGCATGTTGATATCAAATATCACATCTCGAGAGAACAGGCTGAGCAGAAGACAATCATACTGAAATATATTCCGACAGGTGAACAACAAGCTGAATCCTTCACCAAATCTTTACCAGGACCAAAGTTTGCAGAAATAAGAACGGCCATTGGTTTACATTAGGACTTAAGAATGATTTCAATCAAAAATGTTTTGAGCAATTCGGTTTTTATCTTCCCAATCGTCGCAGAACGCAGTCCTTTCATGGGTCTCTTCAGTCTTGCGGACAGGAAAAAGTCGCAGAGGGGCAAATCTGATAAATACGGTGACTGAGGCATGATTATGATGTTGTTCTTGGGCAAAAAAATCGCGAACAAGCAATGACGAGTCAGCTGGTGCATTATCGAGATGCAAGAGCCATGAACTGTTTTTCCACAATACCGGACGCTTTCTCCGTTTTGCTTCTCGCACACGGTGTATAACTTCAAAATAATACCCTTCATTGACCTTGTGTGGCAATAACTCCTGATGCGGCTCTGCCGAACTCTGAAAAATTGATTCGGTCTCCAGCGGGGCATCCACAAAGTATGTGCTCTGCAGTTTAATCATTTTCCAAACACAGACACACTGTGTTCCGATAGTCCGAGTCTCTGCATATCATGATTCAAATGACAGTGACCTGTAAGAAAGCCTGTTAGACTTTAGTCCTACAACTACTGAAGTCCTATAACTGTTTGATTATTAAGCTTCGAAGGGTGATTAAACGCCTTGGAGTGAGCCAATCCTGGAACTGCCAGAGGTCCATAAATCTTCTTGCTATCCAGGTGTTCAATCTTTGTTTGGCAAAGCCTAAAGCGATGCCAAAGACAGGTTCTGGTCCGATGAAGCTGCTTGCAGCACTCACTTTGCAAGAAAGTCAGCAGCCTCATTGCCTTCCAGACCAGTATGGCCAGGAATCCAGACCAGGGACAATCTGTTGAGTCTTCCTATTGAAGAGAGTTGTTTTTGGCAAATTTGCTACCAATTCAGACGTTGCTTGGTAGGAGCCAAGAGCTTCCAAAGCCGTTTGACTGTCCGAGAGTGTTTCATTGTCGTATAGGTTCCTAGGCAGGTTGATATCTCTGTCCTGGGTCTGCGACTGAAAACACCTGCACCATTAAGTGTTTTTGAATACCTGATTAATTTTTCTACACATTTGATGCAAATCGTTCGATGCATTTTTTTCGATAGCAGAAATTTGAACATTCACCTCAATTTTTGAATCAATCACTAATGAAGCAAAAAACAAGGCGTCTCATAATGTAGGGGCAAATGATAAAATCGGTTCACTTTGGATGATAATTTAAAATAATAGACACATTTAGTGAAATGCACTTAAAATATTTGCATGGATTATGGCTCCATCAAAGCGAATATGTGAGTTGTTTAGAACATCTCGTTTCCTTGGCACAGATTAATGAAACTACTTCTGTAACACATAACGTGATTGTTTTGGAATTTTCTGGCAGTAGAATAGGCAAATCTCTTTCGTGTAGAGATCTGCATTTTGCATAACATTAACCACAGTGGAAAGTTGCATAATGACAAATTATAATAAAAAATAGATTAGACTCGACTACTTCCATCTCAAATCGTACATCGGTTGACGAGCTCTTGTCATGATTTTATTTGAATTTCTCATCAATCTGAAATTATGAAGTAGATATTGAAAAAAACATAAAAAAATTATGGTTTATAGTAGTCTCCAGACGAAAGATTTCTTAAACAGGTGAAATTCGGGATGTACTGAGTTGAACCTCAAAACTATGAGCAGCCATAGTTCGTTCCGTATTTCTGATATGTACCGCTCTTGGTGGAATCAAATGTCACTTGAACACTTACCGTGAAAGTATCTATAGAAGAGAGACAAATCTCCAACTTTTCTTCGATGTTCCAGGATACCAAGGTTGCAAGTGATGTTTGCGTCTCCAATCAGGCGGATGGCTCTTTTCTGGATGGAATCCAGCAACTTCAGGGTATGTTTGGGGGCAGAGCTCCATACATGAGAACTATACTCCAAAGAAAGTCTGATCTGAGCTTTATAAAGCATCAAAAGTTGCTAAGGTGTGTACAGTTTTCTAGTTCAAACAGTGTTCCAAACTTTTGAGAAGCAGCCTTTGCAATTCCAGCGACATGATTGTGCCAGGACATATTGGTGTCCATTTCAACCCCCAACAAACCTATCGAAGGATAAAATTGTCTGACCTGACATTATTATATCCAGTTCGAAGACATTTATCTTCTTGGAGAAAACTGATTACTGGGTTTTTGTGGCAGTGAAATGAACCTGGCTACTTTCACCACAATATTTCACAGAAATATCAACCGCAACAGCTCTTGATTCTTCATGTTTCTCGATTGCGTTATTCTAAATATGGGTGACATACGATAGAAGATCGTCTGTTGATCTTTGTTTCCGAAAAAGCCATAATGATGACCGCTCAAGATATTGAAGTCTTCCAAACACTCGAGTATATGGTGGTTTACGACTTTCTTCATGCTTTTTAATATCACTGATAGCAAAGCGACTGGTCTACAGTTATTTGGAAGATTTTTCTTGCCGTTTTTGGGAATAGGCTGAACGCGAGCAATCTTCCAACAAAAAGGAAAAAACCCTTTCTTGGAAGACTGGTTGAAAAGTCAGCAAAATACAGGTGCGAGTTCATTTGCGCACTTTTTAAGTACGATGACGGGCTCTTCATTAATTATGAGAGGTACCGGCTCCATTGTTGAAGAATCAATAATATTACTAGACATATTCAAACATATTTTATATTCGCGGAAAGTTCTGTTGCACAAATCATCAACAGCCATTAGTAAATGGAACAATGCTTATAAACTCCATTTTAAGTTTTTTCTCGCAAATCAGGTTTAATAATAACGCTACATTTCTCAACATTTCATATGTTTCAAACAGAATAATTCTCCAGTCAAGAGTGAATATTTCCTCTCAAACCAATCTGAAAATAGACCTTGATTTTTTATTGCCATCTGAATTATTAATAATTATAAGAAGGCAATAAACATTTTCAGGCTCAAGAATGCAATACTAAATTTTATGCAGCACAATTTGAACTTTTCAAAAACCAAGAACACACGAGTTATCTATGTGTCATTTTCTATTTCTCACAGTCATTCCTACGAATTTCTAAGTCATCACACTCAACAGTCTAGAATTGAATATTTGTGAGATAATTCCATTTTTCTTCGGAAGGTTAAAAGCTAACTGGGAGTAAATAACTCGAGGTCAAGCTGAATGTCATTGAACTTTCTTTAGTTTTCAATAATATAGTATTTCAAAAAGATAAAGTGAGCCAATAATGCTCATTCAATCAGTATTTTAAATTCATGATGATAAATTGCTACAGATCCCCTTGTGGGGACATTATGGCGATACTATCTGTTCTTCCACATCCGAAATGAAAACGGTTCAGGCTGGAGTGCCACAGGGATCCATCCTGGGACCGATTTTCTTCATAATGTATATAAACAATATAGATTGAGAAATTTCA